GTTGTTCTACCTTACATCCTAATCATTGTTTTCATTTTATGTTAATTGGGTGGGTGTGTAAGGGGCATTATGAAAAGTTCATTGACATAGGGCAGAAATATGAAATTCTGCTCTGATCCAAACAATTAGTGTACACCTTTGGGATGTATACTGAGGACAGTTTTTGTCTTATCCATCTGAAGTGATGTTCACATGTTAATCTGATCATCACTTTCATGCAGTTTGCTCCACAAGATGAATGGACTTCATTGTGCGATACACTTGCTTCAAGACTCTTGGCTGCTGGTGAAACCCTTCCAGCAACACTGTGTTACATATGTGCAGGGAACATTGATAAAACTATAGAAATATGGTCAAGGACTTTAGCAGGAAAGCGTGATGGAAAATCATATGTTGACCTACTTCAGGTATTGCATTCAGATTTTTCTGAGCTTTCTATGTTATGGTTAAGACACTTCACACTATTTTCTGTTCCTTCCTGTAGGATTTAATGGAAAAGACGATAGTCTTTGCATTGGCAACTGGCCAGAAGAGATTTAGTGCTTCTCTTTGCAAGCTTCTTGAGAAGTATGCTGAAATCCTTGCAAGTCAGGGGCTTTTAACTACTGCAATGGAATACTTGAAGCTTATGGGCTCTGAGGAATTGTCACCTGAATTGACTATCTTACGAGATCGTATTGCACTCTCCACTGAACCAGGTCAATATGTTTTGCAATGCTAGAGTTCTCTGTTATAGAATGATACTATTATGCAGCTGGCCGTTGTACCTCTCTTTTTCATGTTGATAACTATCATGTGGTTTGGTTAAGCTTGGCTCTTCTTCAAAAATTTTGGTCCTTCGTGCTTTCATTAGAGCACTTGTATGCCTGAGAAATAAGGGAGCAGCTGATTGAAGCTTATTACCGAGATTCATGTCTTGTAGAGAATTTCTTACACCACTTTAGTTATATTTAGGAAGTATAGTATCATTTGCCTTTATCTTACTTGGCTGTTTTAGTGTTTACACTACCGACATGTAAACTTGTTTGCATATAAGCATAAATGTCCTTTTTTAAGCTTTGTAAGGCTAACATGTTTGTCTCTCCCTTCACCTAATAAAAAGAGTTAACTATAGACATGCATGACTATGGTGTAAAGAAGGTAGATATGGCTGTTTGTGATATTTAAAGTAGTAGTATTTATGATTTCCCTCTCCCTGTACCTGTTTTTTTTTTTTTAATTTGAATTTTGGGCTGCTTTTTATGGCGTATGTAGTCTGGTTTTTATTTATGCAATGACGGTTTTTCAAGTCTGGTAGTATTCTTTATTTCAAGCCAATCGACTAAGTGCTGATAGTTCAATCCTTTCAAACAGCTAAGCTGATGATTTTTAGCATATGGTCTTTGCAGCTAAAGATGCATCAAAATCTATAGCGTTTGACAACTCACAACTGCACAGTGGATCCGGCTATGTTGCTGATCAATCTAGTTATGGCATGGTTGATCCTTCTCAGCATTATTATCCGGTATTATCTTCTTCCACTCTTAGTGGCCCATTATTTTTGTTTTGTATTATTTATCCCTCTTTAATTTCTCTCTCCCCAGGAGCAACCATCCAAGCCGCAGCCAAGCATTTCGAACAGTCCCTATGCCGANTTATGCTGAGAATTATCAACAACCATTTGGTTCTTCATACAGTAGCGGCTTTAATGCTCCTGTCCCATACCAACCTGCTCCACAGCAAAACATTCAGCAACCAAACATATTTCTGCCTACTCCAACTCCTCCAGTTCCTCAGGTATACACTTTTTGGTTTCCTTTCTCTTGGATGTAAAGATTTTTTTGCCAAATTAATAGCTGCCGTTGAGTTGAAACAGGTAGCTGCTTCTTGAAGCGCTTTAATCTGGAGTCATCTTTTCCTACTAATATACATTTTTCTCGTGTTTGCAGGGTAACATTCCTCCACCACCTGTTGCTACTCAGCCTGCTAAGACCTCCTTCATCCCATCAAATCCCCCTGCGCTGAGAAATGTGGAGCAATATCAGCAGCCGCCACATACCTTGGGTGCTCAGTTGTATCCCGTATGTTAAAAGATTTCCATTTTTCGCTTCAATCTAAGGGGGAGATTTGGTTTGGGCTAAAATAAATGTGTTGTCTTATGATTTTCATTGCATGTTCATTTCAGGGACCTGCTAATCCTGGTTATCCTGCCGGTCCTAATGTGCCTCCTTCATATGGCCCTAACCCTACTCAAGTCGGCCCAGCTTTTGGACAAAAGATGCCTCAGGTCGTAGCTCCTTCCCAAGCTCCTAGAGGATTTATGCCTGTTAATAATACAGTTCAGAGACCTGGAATGGCTCCAATGCAGCCTCCCAGTCCTACTCAGCCAGCTCAAGCCCAGCCACCAGCAGCTCCTGCTGCTCCTCCACCTACAGTTCAGACGGTGGATACCTCAAATGTTCCTGGTTTGCTTCTCTTCCACTTTAATACCTGTTTAATTCATGTTCATACTATCCTGTAGACTGGGCGGACCATGCAATCCCTTCTTACTAACATGTTACTTCTTTCCGTGCAATTATTGCTACCTATGGGTTGTGAATGTGGTCTTTAAGAAGTGCTCTTGTATTAACTGCACTGCACCATTGACAGACTTTCATGGTTTGTAACTAATGCTATCAAGTTACAGAAAGAATACAGTGTATTTTCTTGTGCAAGTTCTCACACTTGGATACTCCTATGGTACACCTGAAGTTTGTGTCCGGAAAAGCTCCTGTTGCTGCTATATTATAACCATTCTTCATAAGAAGGCCAATAAAGGAATAAACTTAGATAAATTTGCACTTTACCTTCGCGCCATCTTAAACTGTTTTGAATTTCTCCTAGATACTGTGCTTTAAACTACTGTGGTCTATGTTAGCATGTATTTCCTTCTTTCTATAATTCTTTTAATGGCAAGGTTGATGGCTGTGCTTGTAGGATCAACTTTTAAGTCTATAACTGGGAAATGAGGTTCTACTTTTTGTCCTTGCTTTCTTTAAATCACAATATGTGTAATAGAACGAATCTTTTGGTGTGTTGCAGCTCAGCAAAAGCCCGTGATAGCGACTTTGACAAGATTGTTCAATGAAACATCAGAGGCATTGGGTGGAGCACGAGCAAATCCAGCTAAGAAGCGTGAAATCGAGGATAACTCAAAGAAGTTAGGAGCGCTTTTTGCAAAATTAAATAGTGGGGACATATCTAAGAATGCATCGGAGAAACTTGTGCAACTTTGTCAGTCCTTGGACAATGGTGACTTCAGTACCGCCCTTCAGATACAGGTAGCTCTCTGGATAGATTATAGTTTCAGATCATTTGTTCTAGTATTGCTAGTAGAATATCATATGATCTCCGCTTGCTTCTTATATTTGCATATCCTTAGGTACTTCTCACCACAAGCGACTGGGATGAGTGCAACTTCTGGCTAGCAACACTAAAGCGAATGATTAAGATCAGACAGAGCTTCAGATAAATATGGCAGCCTTAACATTGGCCAGACTTGAGAATTTGAGATTTTGGGTTCAAATCCTTGTCGCCCGTGAGTTCAAATGGAAATATCATTTCTCCTATCTGGAGATGGGCGCCTTTAGATTGTCTTTTTAGTTGGATATTTTCTACCTCTTTTCTCACCCACTCTAGATATTGGTTTTTAGGGGCTTGCAAAATTTTGGGAAGAGGTTAGAGAGCTTAGTTCTCTGGACATGGTAACGATGTTTGATTATTTTTTACATTGTTAAAATATAGAGTTGGTTTTTTATTAACATATGCTTTGGTTGTAATCTGTCTGAAAACTAGTCATTATTCAATCTCGGATTATAGTAAAACTCATTGTTTAGTTTGCATAAATGCAACACTGTTAGTTTTTACTTGTCAGCAATTGATCTTTGGTACCCGATGAGTTTTGAGACTTTTGGTGACCCCCTTTAAATGCCTGTACTGGTGGTAGAATACTTGTTTGATCCTTTTCTCCGTGTTGAACATAGGCACATAGCAGCAAATTCAGTAGCTCTTGTAATAGCTAACAAATGGTTAGAATGTCCATTTTTCAATAAGAAAAGCTGCTAATCGTGTAAAGCGAAAGGTATCAAAGGATAAAAGTGTAGCTCCAAGTTAGGAAGGGTTAAAACTTAGAATTATTATTACCGAATGTTCGTTTGTAATCCATTAATTATTATCTTCCTGCTTGTCCCGAAGTTTAAAAGCCAAACGGTTAAATTTGTTGCACTTGAAAAATATATGCAGTGCACCTTCTTGAGTATTTCATGCATACGTGACAATGCACATTCAAACTAATGCCTTTATTGAAGTTGGGGGAGGGGGGATGATTTTTGTGTGTGGTTTATCTATGTTTAGGAGTAGGGGGGGCAAACGCGTGGGTTGGGTCGGAGAGGGCGAGTCGGAAACAGGTAATGCAAAAATGGATAAATTATCCGACACCGACCCATATTTAATACGGATAAAAAATGGGTTAACCGGCGGATAATATGGATATGTGGCTTCTTCAATATAATCACTTTTGAGAGAATTCAGTCTCACAAACTAGAGGAACCATCAATTTGAGAATTAAACCCATTACTTATTCATTGTTTATCTATTTAGAAAATAAATAATATGGTTTTTATCCATATTTGACCTATTTTAAAAAAGTATATTATCCAAGTCATTTCTTAATGAATAATACGGTGGATAACTGTTTTCTTTTAACTATTTTGCCACCACTAAGTAAGATTATCTTCATTTTTATTCAATGACCCAACGAAACAATTTCTGAGATTGCCATAAGTAGGGACTCAGTTAACACGCCACAGATAAATAGATGAGCCATTACCCACTTGCCAAATATATTTTTCCTTGAATGTTTCTACTATCTGGATGGAAAATATCACTTGCGCAGTTGCGCTGTAATGAATCAAGAATTAAAGGCATTAGTTAATCATAATAATAATAATAATAATAGACACAAAAATTATACGAACGACAGATATCATAATCTGTTAGATAGGTGGAAACACCCCGGGTTAAGTTTTTTTTCTAAAAAAAATAATCTAAATTCATTCTTTGAAGCTAACGGTCAACTGCAGATCACAAAACTATGGCTAGGCCCTTATCAACAATCTTCAAATCAACGAAACCCCATATTCTGAAACCACAAAAACCCACAAATTTTGAATCCTTGAAGCCTGCTAACCTAAAAATTTCCTCTTCTTCAAATTCAATAGCATCTTCCTCAAGTTCCAGCAAATTGAAGAAAACAAGAAAGTGTGTTGCTGCAAACTCACAGCTGCCCTCTTCTTCAAATCCCTTAGGAAATGGGTCGGAATTAGCAACGAGCTGTAAATTGCCAGCTTCAGATTCAACGAAATCCAATAATTCAAGAAAATTCAAAAAAATCAAGTCTTTATGGTGTGTATACCTTATTCTCTCCACAAATTCACCTATCAAGACCTATGTTGGTGTCACCACCAATATCTCTCGTCGGTTAGTTCCATCTTTCTCTCGTTTATTCTAGAAAAGAAAAACAAAAAAAAAGGATAAAAGAAAACTTTTGGTTAATGGGTTTCTATTTTCTGCAAGTAACAGAAATTTAATTGACATTTCTGTTAGCTAAAATCTGCATCATTATATTGTGTCATTTGTTCATATAACTTTTCTCTTTTTTTATACTATCTAAGTTTGCTGACTTCTAATTGGTGATCTCTCTGGTAGACTGAAACAACATAATGGTGAACTAAAAGGGGGGGCAAAGTCATCTCGCTCGGGAAGACCTTGGATTTGTGCCTGCCTCATTCGAGGATTTGAGGGCAGAAGTGAAGGTACAATCTATTGTACCCAATTTTATATACCCTAAAACCCCACCCCTTAAACTATTACATTTTTGTCAGTTTCCTACTTAAACTATTCGGTATCCCAAAACACACCTAAACTATATTGCCCTTCATATTTAAACTCCCTCGTTGTTTACCTGACATAACGGGTGTACGCACTCGCTTGTAAGCGCGTGACAGCTGAAAAATGACATCAAAATGTAATGTCATCAAAATGTCACCTGACAAAATGTAATGACTAATTAGCCTAATCCTCTTTCAACTTTGTTTTATTTTTAAATATTCTCCTTATTTCCTTTATATACACCTTTCTTCTTCACTTTCACCATTCTTCGTTATTTTTCCCTTTTTATTTTTTATTTTTTCACCTTCTTCTTCTTCATTTTTTTCACCTTTTTTCTTCAGTTCTCCGTAGGGAAAAATTCCTCTCTTGTTTGCTCTAAAATAATTTATTTGCTTTCTTTTTTTAGTCTTCTTTCATTCATGCATTACACATATTGTTGAAAGAACACCCATTTAAATCTTTTTATTAAACCAACACCTTGTTGTAGAGAATGAAGTTGAATATCTAAAACCTTGTTCGTGCAATTTAGAATTAGTGAATGTAGTTGTTGGCCGATTAGTTTCTTATTTGCGAAATTTTATTTTGTGTAATCTTGTTTATGTAGTATAAGATGATTTTTCATAAATGCAACACTATATGCCTTTATTTATTTTCTTATTATGCTGCAAAGTGAATGTAAATAAGGAATTATTCAATTGAAGTCTAGTATAAAGCACAACCACAGTTAAACCTAGAATTAACTCCTTACATTAGATACTGTTTTGGCCAAAACTCCTAAAATTAACCAGTCATCCGAGAGTAATTTAGTACAAACTATAAGTTGATATAGTTAGACAGACACACCTCTAAGAATTTAACATGGGGTTTTAATATACATGGGGATATAGTTCAGGGGGGTTTTGGGGGCACTAGATAGTTTAAGTAGGTAACTGATAAAAAAATTATAGTTTATGGGGGTTTAGGCTGGGTTAAATAGCCACATGTAATGGCACATGGCACGTTATTTAGATAATTAGGAGCGTGTACTAGACGCGCCTCTAAGAATGCAGCGAGGGGGTTTTAGTATGAAGGGCAATATAGTTCAGGGGAGTTCTGGAGACACCGAATAGTTTAAGTAGGAAACTGACAAAAAATGTGATAATTTAGGGGGATTTTAGGGTATTAACTCTATTATATGAGGTGGCTTCTTTACTTCATCAGAAATGCAAAATTGCCCCCAAGTCTAGAATCCCTGTTATGCTAGAACACTACAAAAATTCAGATTATACTTTGGCAGTCTGGATGTTTCTTTTGGTTTCCTTATATTCATGCATTGGAAGGGAACATGTAACATAAGTATAAAAAATCATATTTCTTCAATAATTGAAGGATATTTCAAGTAGAAGAGCTGACGTATTGTTTGCCCAAAATTTACATTGTCCATTTTGAACAAACGCACCCCTTAGAGATCCTTTCCAGTTTTTTGTGGCTTTGTGCATTTTCTGTGTGCATGTAGACACTTGAAAGATGGTGGTGCAGATTCCCCTATCATATAATTCTGTACTTGAATGAACAAGCCATATTAATCTAAGCTCCTTACTACTTTTTTTTGGTTCTGATTCTGTAGTTTTTTATGAGTACAATCACAGCTAGAAAGCGCAAGTTAATAGAGCTTATAACTAGTGAAGGTGCTAGTNTTCTAAGCTCTTTACTACTTTTTTTTGGTTCTGATTCTGTAGTTTTTTATGAGTACAATCACAGCTAGAAAGCGCAAGTTAATAGAAGAGCTGACATATTGTTTGCCCAAAATTTACATTGTCCATTTTGAACAAACGCACCCCTTAGAGATCCTTTCCAGTTTTTGTGGCTTTGTGCATTTTCTGTGTGCATGTAGACACTTGAAAGATGGTGGTGCAGATTCCCCTATCATATAATTCTGTACTTGAATGAACAAGCCATATTAATCTAAGCTCCTTACTACTTTTTTTTGGTTCTGATTCTGTAGTTTTTTATGAGTACAATCACAGCTAGAAAGCGCAAGTTAATAGAGCTTATAACTAGTGAAGGTGCTAGTGGAAGCAGAGGTGATCAGAAACATAGATTTTGGTTTTAACGTGTTAACTTGCGGATTAAACCAAATACAGAGTCAACGTGGGAACATAATAGATTGTAACCCACTCAGAACTTGGTGCTTATTTAAAGGAGCTACATAGCCAGCACTTATGCTTTGACCAAGCTCATTCTCCTGATCAGCAATTCAAGTAGTTTGTGCAAATTGCTAGTTAAGAGAAGTGGCGCTTGGCACGAATAAGCATTATGAAGAGAGTGGTAAACTAATGTGTCTGTTTTCTTCAAACCTAGTATTCTAGTCGTTTCCAAGGCATGGTTAGGAGTTAACAATGAAGACATTGGCTTGAGGTGTATCATAACAGGATAGTCATAGCTTTTCCCACCAGATCTGACCCAAAATGTTTGTAATCATAGAAGCATACAGATCACAACAACTTCCCAGTAAAATTGGTTATATTTGCAAGGGTCCAACACTTTCTACGGTGTGTGGTGCATTTGCAGTTCTTCTATATGTAAGATCAACAAATAGCCTTACTTTTTTCCTGTCAATTCTTTTAGACTCTCTCCACTTCCTTGTTTTCATAAGAAATGGAAGCATATCCCAAGTTACCCACTGTAGGTGCACAAAGTGACTTGAGAATGCCTAGATCTACTGCTAAACACCTGGATTTTTGTCTATTTCGTTTAGGTAGCTGAATATTGAAGATAAAAACAGTGGTATGATCATTGTTATGGCATAGTACCAATGAACTTAAACAAAAAAACTACACAAGCGGAGCTCTAACTGTTAATGGGACATTCCTCAAACTGATCATCTTGCTCCACTTCTATTTTGTAAGATTCCGTGGCTTGCTTTTCTTCATTTGTGCTACCATTGTGTTATGGATTCGCTTTATGCTTAGGTTGAACTCAATTCAGACTTAATACTGACAATATGTTTTTAACTGTATAATAATCAAGCCTGAGTATCCGGCTTACAAGTTGCAAAACAAATTCCGATTAGGTGTGGTGCAACCTATTCCTGAAACACTATTTTATAGCTAAGTTGAAACTCTAAGTCCATCTTGCTCTCCAGAGTAGACGTATTCCTGCTGGTTGTCGACTCTTAAATGTCCCAAGCCGTCATAACTATCTTGGTCTTGAGTTTGGCGTCATCATTTCTGATAAGAAAAAACCTGTTTGACGTGCCTTTACCAATGCCTGTCATTGCGCTTTAAGTGAATAGACCTACAAGAATTGATTGCTATAATAGTTTAATGGTACTGGAGAAGGATCAGCAGTGATAAGACCTGCCTATACCATTACTAAGACAACCTAATCATCCCAAACATTACTTGTCTTCTAAACCAACAACAGGATTAGCAAAAAATGATTGTCTAGCGTGCAACTACTCTGCTTGTGAGTATCTGAGGAATTAGAGCATCACTATCTTCAGTGACAAAATATTGGTCGCCAAAGACTTTTGGACAAGAATATCAATATTAACCAGTGTGAAATTAGGTGTATCAGTAAAACTTTAGAACATTTCAGAAGTGGATTCTTCTCTCTTTACTATTTTCTTGTCCTTTATCTTCTTCATCTTCATTGACTGCGTCGATCTGTGGCATTATTTACAATTCTTAACTCGATATCATTATCACCAAAATTGGTGCTGAATTTGTTTGGGATCTCCTTGATTATGCTAACCACTTGAGGATCTGTTCTGAGCCTACAGATTAGGAGTAAGGGGTGAGAGGGGGATGCATGGGTGGTGCGGTCCTAGAGAGAGCTGAATAGATTATTGGATGCGGTATTTTAGTCGGAATTTGTTTTTGACTCTTATAGATTGGATCTCTTGCTGAGAGGACATTTCCAGCTTTGTTAATCTGCTTAACAATTGAAAAAGCATTGGGTTGGTTTTTACAATCAAAGGACCCAACTATCTAAAACAAAAACATCTATTCACTGTGAAGCGGAGGGCAGAGTGTTAAAAATAAAACCATCGCTCGAGGATGCATCTTAGGGTCTCAGGGGCTCAGGGCATAAAATTCAGCAGGCTTGAGAAGGCTTATGCTTTTCTCTTAATAAAGTCCCTTTGATTGTCCAAGCAGAGACAGAAAAATGCTAGGTTATTTATTGCCATTTGGCTAAGCCTTTGTGGGTAGACTATCTGTTGCCTATGCTGGTGGGAAGTACTAGGTATCTAGTAAAATAGTTGAGGTGCATGCAAGTTAGTCCGAACACCACCATTATTTTTAAAAAAAATAAGAAAGAAAAAGTTCCTTTTGATTGTTGTCGGGAGGGTGTCGTTGTGACTTTTTCTGCTTTGGATTAAACAGGATCTTTATTCAGGATTCATATGGATCATTCTTTCTTATATACTTGCCACCACAACTAATTCTCATTTGCAGAAAAACAAAATTTCTCTTATACTGTAACCTTTTAGCTAATGTTGAATAAAAAATGTTCTCTTCCTAAAGCAGTTAGTTTTCATTTGCTTTCACCTGGAGCTTAGAGATTGAGCAAGTTATTAACTCTATTTCTGTTTGAACTTGTAGCTTGTGCGTTTGAATCAAAATGGAAGCAAGTTTCAAGAAAACTGCCCCGTAAAAGAAAGACTACTGAGGAGCAGAAGCCAGAAGATAATGGATCTTTTGCATTATTGCAGCATAGACATGCAGCTCTGGATTGCGTTCAATGTTTGATGATCGACTGCAGTCACTTAAATATTGATTGGCGTTCTGATTTAATAAATTGAATTTACTCTATAGAAAAATGCTACCACAGTTTTAAAACTTGGTAGGGAATCAAAGATGTCTAGACCATGAATGCATTGATATCTGTATGGCAATTGTATCTTTAAAGTAAAGAGATAACTTATGTTCACTTATTGCTTATTGTTATTTATGTTTTTTTATGGAGAAAACTATTCACTTATTCCTGTGCAGTTAGTCATATCACACCATCTTAACTGAGTTGCTAAAGTGTAGAATTGCATATAGACAGAAAATAAGTTTAAACTGCTAATGGCTGAGATAAAAACTGAGAGATTTCTAGCATAAAATGCTCCCCCATAATATGCTACTTTCATTTCATTTTTCTTTTGTTTTCATACATCTACAAAACAATTAATGCCAACGTCACTATAGTCAATCAATCAACTAAAGCTTCAATCTAAAATAAGTTGTGTTAATCATCATTTCATTTATTCATGCCAGTTTCGTTCCAATATGTAATTTATTAGCTAAATATAAATATAGCACGCACCCAAAATTACTCTAACTATAAAAGTTACTATTCAATGTATATATTTTTTTTTAAAGGTGAAGCTTTAGATATCACTCATATTAAGTTTAGTATGATACTATGATAGCAATAAAAGAACATAATAAAGAGCAATTTTGTGATTTTGTCCAAAGAGCATACAAAAAAAACATTATTTAAAAAACATACAGGAAAAAACCCGTATGCACGAGTTAGGGATAAGAATCGGGTCGGATCATTTCTAAGCGGATAGTGGATTTGAGAAATAAAATAGGGATCAGATTATCAGAAGGGGGTAGGGGCTGCGAACAATCAGACAGAGATAGAGTAGAAGAAAACTGGTGTTTGTGATTATTAAGCAAATGGCGTTGATGAAGGGAGAGCCATTGGTGAGGAAGGTAGCGCTGATAGCTAAATATGTAGTTTTTCCTGGAGCTATGGCTGCCGCCGTCATCTATTCTCCTCCCACTTACGCTTCTTATTATTCAAAGTCCCAATCTTCTTCTTCCAAATAAACCCCGTGTCCTTCATTTCTGGGTACGTTCTCTTTTTTTTCTTTTTAATACCTATTCTCGTCGCTTCTAGGGTTTGGAATTTCTTTGCTGATTTTATCCATTCTCTAGATTTCTTATTGATCTAATTTATGTAATGGAAATTTTATATCTCAATATGCCTTATACCAATTTAATTTCCTGCTTGCTTCCCAAGAGTCGAACAAACTGATTTTTGCCTATGTTTTTTGAGTGGACTCTTTCATCATTTTGACATAATAATCAATAATCCAATATAGCTCCAATAAGACCTAATTGACTTGATAAGCTTAAAAGGTAATTAAATTGAGATAGAGAGAGAATTGTTTGCCCTTTTTGGTATGTGACCTTTCTTTGTCTACCAATCTTAGTGATCTCTGCTTGGTTTTGGGTTTTGCGTACAGTGTTTTTTGTGGATATTGCTGCCTTTGATGGTGGATAGTTCCGTTATATTCTCATTGCTTTATTGTTTTGAGAATGAAAGCATGTCGAATTAATTTGTTCAGGGAGGAATTCAAGGGTTGGCTTGTCTGCACTGTGACTTTTTTGGGTTAACTTGTTGACTTTTATATATTTGTGGGAAAAATGGAATAGCCTCAGTGTCATTATGATTTATGATTAGAATAGGATTGGCTGGTAAAAGTGCTGGAAATTGAGTTATTCTAACTCCTGAAATGCTCCAAGCATATATGATTTTGTCTTGATTTCCTAGAATGTGCTTTTGCATATTCTTCTAGTCTAGTGTAACACCCTTGTCCGCGACAAGAAGTAGGCGGGGTGAAAGTGCTATATAAGCAGTTAACACCTGCTTAAAAGTCAGCAGCGGGATAGCCATTAAAAGTATGTTTTCTGTATGCTCAGTATCTCGTCAAAAACTGGGTTTGGTAGCTTAGTGGCATTCCGTTTGGTGTGAGAGATAACGTCTCTTTGTGTTTGCCTTTTTCTTTTCTTTTCTTATTTTGCATCACAGAACCTCCATTACTTTCTCTACTGTTAACCGACTCTTTAAATATGGTGTTGTCCTCGAGCTTAGGTGTTAATTTTGAAGCTCGTACTTTTGCAACTTTTTTTTTTTTTTGATAAGGTAAATTGTATTAATCAAAAGGGAGAGAACTCCCGTATACACGAAGTATATCAAAGACGTAGAGAATTTACATCAGAACATGATTCTCTACAAAAAACGCCCAATCTTCTATACAAGTAGGGGCTAAATGAGTGCACCAAAAAGCGATCAAAGATAAAAGACTATTCTTAAGATGTGAAAAAGGAGACTCAATCTCCTCAAAAGCTCTCCTATTTCTCTCCCCCCATACTACCCACATGAGAGCTAACGGGGCGAACTTCCACGCCTTCTGCTTTCTTCTTCTACGAAAACCGCCCCAGCTATGTAACATTTCCTTTACAGTGCTTGGCATCACCCATTGAACACCAAAAAGATTCAGGATTGCCCTCCACAAAGCAGAGGACACAGGGCAATGCAACATAAGGTGATCAACTTCTTCCCCTGAGCTTTCGCACATGTAGCACCAACTAACAAGTGTAATTCCCCTCTTTCGGAGATTTTCAGCAGTCAAGATCACTCCCCTTGCCGCTAGCCATGCAAAAAAGCACACTTTCGTGGGCGCCCTAGGAATCCAGATCGAGGAGTATGGAAAAGTGGTCTCCTCTCTCACCAACATACTCTGGTAAAAGGACTTTACGGTGAACAAACCATCGCCACGCAAGCCCCATCTCCAAGAGTCACAGGATGGTTGAAGCCTGTCTTGCCCGTATAGCAGCGCCAACAAAACTTGGAGCTCCGTAATCTCCCAATCTTGCATGTTCCTCCTGAATGAGAGGTCCCATACTACCTCCCTTCAAGCTCCTTGCGAATCTATTGGACCATCAGTTCTTTCTGGTTTGAAACTCTGAAGACGTGGGGGAAGGAGACCTTGAGAGTATCCTCTCCACACCACCTATGATTCCAAAAGCTGATTCTCCTTCCATCTCCCACCCTGTAAGTGATGTTGCCACTGAATGCTTCCCAATTCTTCATGATACTCCTCCACATGCCACACCCGAAAAGTGTTGTGATCGCCTTGGTCCTCCAACCCCCTCCCGTTGAGTCGTACTTTTCTACTATGACCTCCCTCCATA